TATTTATTTAATGTGATAATTTTAAATTTACCATTTTGCTCATTTTAATTTGGTCAAAATTAATTAAATTTTGACTTTTCTTGATCAGCTAACGATTAAATGGATGTTTTCCATCCATTTAAACTCCCGTTGCATATTTATGATAGTTAAGGACCTTCGTGGGCATAAAATGAAGGTTGGGATAAAGTTTGCCAAGATTGAAAATGTTAGGAACCGCTACTGCAATTTTCTCTTAAAATTAATTATTAACTTTGATTTGAATTAATATCTAGATTTTAACCCTTCCAAACAGGGGCATATTATAATTCAACATTCTTTGATAAAAGAAATATATAATTCTTAGTGTTATCAATATGCCGCGCCTTTAAAAATGTATACAACCAATCAAGATATTTAATTACAAGTTAGTCTTATATATTTTATAAATTTATATATAATTGCATTCTTAGTATTACGTTTTTTTTTATAAATTTTAATTGCAAATTGAATTTTTTTCATGAGAAATGTTATAAGAACTTTTAATTTAAAATCTTATCTTTTTTTTCCAGGAAAATTAGGAGAAACGATAAAAAATATAGAGAGGGAAAAAAAAAAAGAAATGATAACAAATATAACCGGTGGAAGAGATAATTTTTTAAAACTAGTTTACCCTTCAATATATATATAAAAAAATGGAAAACACCATCAACCCTTAGTCGTAATAAATAAGTTGGTTCTCTATTTAACCCTTTGATTCACTAAGTTTCGTTCTCGACTTTTGAACATCGATCTTAGGTAATATAATAGGATGAGTTTTCCAACTAGATTATTGACTACGAGAAGATTGCTTTTTGCAATAAAGTCCTTAACAAAGAATGGAGAAACTAAAAAAAATCAACCACGTCTCTCATTTTTCAACAAAAATATGCACGGCATATCTCTTGTTCAGTTTTATCTAGTCGAACAATACTCGATATAACATACGTGTAAATGAAAGATTCTTAATCATGGAAAGCTTTGGTCCAAGGTTAGCTTTGCATGTGGATATTGGTTCCCATATATTGACATCCACATGAAATTAAAGTGGGACCATGCAAATAAATGTCGTGCAAATATCTATTTTCCGAGCCATGCAAATTTTTCAAGATTAGAATTTTAGTTTTGTCTCTATCCATTGCTATATAATTACTTATTCCACATAATTTTTCTTCTTTTATTTTTTGACTTTTTCTATGGCTGAGGTAGTTTTCAATTTTGAGATGATTCTCAGTGACTCGGTCGAAGATAAGATGATTCCTTGTATTATTCTAGATCTTACGTTTCAGCTTTACATGTGGTTTGTTAGATTTTAGATAAGTCGGCTAAGCTAAAGATCTAATTTATTTGAATTTTTATTCGTTTCGAATTAGTCATTGTACTTGAAAATTTGTATCCAATCTATTCTTGAGCCAGTTCCGACAATAAAATTAACGCATGAACTTGCGTGGCAAAGGACATGGTGTACGTGTAATATCATCAATTGCTATCTAACGTTATTCCTCCTCCGTGATAAAAGGCATGTAAAAAATTTACAGATAGAAGTAAGTGTTGTGAAAATAGAGAATAAGATAAGAGAATAAGAGAAATCAATAGATTTATGTGTATTATAATGAGAACTAAAGTTCTATACTTGTAGGCAGAATTAGGGATACAATAGTAATAATTTATAGGACTGTAGAGGTACAATTGTCATTCACTATAAATTTACAATTTACAACACTCCTCCTTGAACGACACATTACAAAATATTTGTCTCGTTAAAACCTTGTTCGATAAAAATCAAAAAGGACAAAAAATAAAACAAAGGAAAAATAATACAGTTATTTTGGAGTATTAAAGATAAATGTTGTTTCATTAAAACCTTGTTAGGAAAATCCAATGGGATAAAACCTAAGCGAAGGAAAAAGAGTACAGCTACTCCCCCTGATGTTGATCACTGAAAATCTTTGAGTCAACGCATTCCAATCTTGTGAATCAATTTCTTGAATATAAATGTTGTCAGTGCTTTTGTAAATAAATCAGCCACATTGTCACTTGAATGAATTTTTCCATTCTTTTGAAACTCATGTGTATGAAAGAATTTTGGAAAAATATATTTCATCCTATCACATTTGATATAACCTTCTTTGAGTTGTGCAATAAAAGCAGCATAGTCTCCATACAAAATTGTTATATATTTTTTTAAACATAAACCATGTGAATGAGTTGCATCTGATAAGAATCCTCAAATTGGTTTCTCTTTGTATGTCGAGTTTGTATATATAATTTGTATGTCGAAACTCATTCTTTATTTTGTTTCGCACTTTTTTTTATTTTTTTTCTATTTGTATGTCGAGTTTGTATATATAATTTGTATGTCGAAACTCATTCTTTATTTTGTTACACACTTCTTTTTAATTTTCCCCAGTCCCCACTAGTGTTGGATAACAACTGAAGAGGTTCCGCGAAAGCAATACAAAATATCAATTTATAGCCAGAGACTAGCGTAAGAATTGATTGGAAACAATATTAATAGTATGGCTACTAATTAGTAGCAAATTGAAATAAAGGGACCAATAGAAAATTTTAACCCCTCAATAGATGGTGCAATTTAAGACGGAACTAATAAAAAAAGGAGAGGTGAATTATTATTTAAATTAAGAAATAGAAAAGATAAGAAGGTCCCACCGGGATTTGAACTCGGGTTACTGGATTCAAAGTCCAATGTGCTGATCACTTGGCCATGGAACGACTTCGCAAATTTTTTTTTTTCAAATTTTAATTAATATCTATTAAAAAATTTCCAGTGATGCTTGCATGTTTAAGGTTGATGTTTCCTCGTAGAGAATCTAGAGATTATCTAGTTTTCTCCATTATTTTTGTTAGCTGTCCAAAATTATTCTGATTGGCAATGTACTTTAAAATTCGTAGTACGGTTTTTTTTTTTCGTTAAAAAAAATTTACTAATATGATGTAATTTTTCCTTTAAAAAAAGAGTTTGTTGACATTAAATTATATACTAAATGAAATGTAAAATTGCAACCTCAGTATGACTAAATAATACCGTTTTTAAGAAAAAGTACGCCACATTTTTTTCTTAGGAGCATCGTAACATTATGTAAATCATAGTCATCACGCCATCATCTTCATTTACAATCATCAAACTTTCCACAGTCTATTTGAAAACGATGAAATTCATTTATTTATCATATTTTTGAACTTTGCATTATGCCTTTTAATCTATATCGTTTTTTTTTCTGAGCTCATAATATTGTGATTTTTCATTTATTTATGATCGTGACTAATTTATACAAATATTCGTGATATTTGGTGTTCATAAATTCATCTTAAAAATTAATTGCAATTGAAAATTTTGATTTAAAAAATAAACTAAAATGTAAGTATATTTTGATTTTGATTTTTGGTTCAACAGAAGTTTTTATGTTGGTTTGATTTTTGGTCCAACACTTAATTTGTTATTAATATATTAGACAACTATCTATGTATTAGTATTCTAAATTATTTAAAAATATTTGACATTTATCTACGTCTTAATATTTTTAATAATCCAAATTAATAGAATCTTACTATTTTCGATTTGATTCAACGATCCGATCTGCAAGACTCATTTAACGATCCGATCCAAAAATAAAACCCTGACAATTCTGCTTTTGTGGTAGCTTGGGCTTATATATTTTCATTTTTTCGCAAATTGGTTGGGAGATGGCAATGGTGACAATGATGATGAGAGTGGGAGATAAAGGAACAATGGAAAGAGTAGAGGGGGGGAATGTAAGCTATGGTCTTTTCCGTATTACCTAGTTTAATAATAAAAAAAAATTGTGATACAATTACAAATATATCATTGTTACATGAGCCTATCCATCGCATATAGACTTTAAGGACATTGCAGTGTCATCGTCGAGGTAAAATTGGGACAAGTGACTCAATCTAGATACATATACGAAGTTCAAAGTTTGGGTAGGAACAATTCAACTTGCTACTCATTGAAATTCATTTTTTCATCAGCTCTATCTATGTATATCCGATACTTGAGAAATTCCTTCGTTCTACTTGCATTTTTCTATCCTTTAGCCCACCGGCCATAGGAAAATGAATTTGTTGGTCTCCTTCTAGTGTGATTGCAACCCTGATATAAGAAATTCTTATTGAAATTCCTGATTTTTGAGTCTTAGAACATAAATAAGAGTGTGTTTGGTAGAGATTAAAATGTGATTAAAATTGAAAAATTAGTCGTTATTGTTGACTTTTATTAGACAGGTGAGACCCAATAACGATTATATTTTCAATTTTAATTGAATTTTTAGTGTTACCAAACAATCCCTAAACGAATGTTCCCAATTTCCAAAATTAAAAGCCAATATGCCTTTCAGTAATGGGCCAAGTGAAGTGCCCACCAAACTTGTAATTTCCCTCCAACCCTCCAATTTTACCAAGTCAACTCGCTAATACAGTAATACGTTAGAAACCCTAATTCAACTGCTTCCCCCCCAACAACTATACACCCTGTTGCCTCGAATTTTTGCAAGAAAGTTGAAGATTTCATTACTTGATATAGATTTGAGATATAACTTTAATTTTCTGTTGCGATTGAGCCCTTTGTAGCGAAAGGAAAGGGTTTTAAGTTAGGGTGCACGTGAAATATGAGCCCGGAGTGGAAATGTGACGTTCTTTGTCCGTGAGTCAATTTGATTGAAGGTGAGTCTCATAACGAAAAAATTGTAAAAATATTATTTGGTTGTTTCAAGAAATTGGATTAAGCAAACACAATTTTGATGGTACCTAGTTTTCTGTGGCATATGGGAATTGTGAAATGGGGGATTGTATCTGGGAATAAATATTTGAACTTGAGTTACTAATGCAAGCAAATGGTAACCAATGGAGGAGAGTGGGGAACACTGGTGTTGGATAATTCAGGTTTCATTGAGAAGGAAATGTGATCACGGAATAATGATGAGAAACTGGTGATGAATTGATAGAAGATGCGTCCCGCTGCTTCTTTGAGGAAGAACGGATTGCAGGAGGATTTGGAGAAAGAAACTGAGACTGATGTCTTAATAATTTTTGCGGGAGTATCTGTAACAATTGTTGGTGCGGGACATGCCAAGTTGGATGCTGTGAAATGGCTGAGGTTTTCACTTTTCTGGTCCCTAAGTGATGTTATTTGAAGGTAACTGATATGTGGGAGGAGTTTATACTCCGAAAGATTGGTCGATAAGTTAACCACGCAGCTACTGTTCTTGGTGGTAGTGTTATAACAGGTATTAATGCCCATCCTTCAGGAAGCTGACAAATAGAAATTATGGTGAAGCTTTGTATTTTTTCTAGGGAACTTTTAATTCCTCTCGACATGGTGAACAATTAGTGGCTTATGTACAAGCCGTATCGAACACATGTTAACAGATTTGATTATATGGTTGAGCTATTTTTTAAAGTCATTCGATTCAAAGAAATAATGGGTCAATTTGCTAGTGATACTACTTTATATTCTGTTTTAGAGACAGTTTCGCAATTATATGTTGCAGCTAGTTGTAGCGAGGAAAGAACCTTTTTTGATTTGTATTTTGCTAACTTGGAGCACACCAAGTACTTTTGTGCGTATGGAACTAAGTCCCTCTTCTGTCTGTAATCACTTTATTATCAATGTATGAGTAGCGGTCATGGCCAACCCATCACCTAGGCATGGATGATTTTATTAAGACACTTGGGATATGCCAAAACTGGATGCGTTTCAACCCTGTCTACTGTCGATGGGGATCAGTAAGATCCTTATAGAATGGGTATGAAATGGTTGTTCTCTCACAGGTGGGACCTGGAGATTAATTAGAGTAATTCTTAAAGAACTTGATTTATCTTTACGACGACCATTTAAACCATTCTCTATTGAAGTGAACGAATCTAGGTTGTTCAGGAAACCAAGATTTTCAAGCCGATATTTTCCTGTGCTCCATTCCCATTTTATTCCTTAAACTATGAGAAATCAGATTTTAAGATTTTTCTGAAAGAATGCAGCATAAGAAAGACTGCTGTTTTTGTTGCTAAGTGAAAGTCCCCGTGACTTTCCCTCATAATTTCCAAGGGGAAAGGCTTGGATACATTTGGACTGTACTTCACCTTGTTTCAAGCATTCTTGAAGGTATCATACATCTGTAGAAGTAGGTGTTTCGATGGAAAATTGTACTTGATTATTACTTATTTCATCTTTTTCTTTTCTTTATTTTGGGCACTTTGTTATTTATGTTCTTCCTCACGTGAGCTTCTAGTGAGCCTTCTTAATTGCTTTCAGCGTGGCAATTTTTGCAGATGTACATAGTTGGATGGGCATTGGAGTGTCTAATTCTTTACAAGCCATGTGTACAAGATGGGGAAACGATCCTCTTTCTTATGGTTCATATTCACATATCAGAGTGCTATTATTTCGTAACAGGTATGATATACTTTCGAACTGGTGTTTTGGCTCATCCATATAATTTTCATGTTTATTTGTTTGAATCTTCAATTTTATAATATTACATGGAATGGTTTGGTGTTTTGATGATAAAACGGTACTCACTGTGGAATTAATTAACAATAAACAAATTTACGAAGTCCACACATAAAAAAAAATATTGCTATTGTTTTCGAAATGTGATACTATGCCCCCGTTTTGTTTAGATAAAAATCAAATTTTTAGTAGATTTTAATAAAAACTGATTAAATGTGTGGTTGAAAAGTTGTGGGCCCCATTAAATATCTCATTAATATTAATTGTTGATTTTAACTTAGATTTTAATATACATTTTTAGTTGAATCAAATATGGATTATATAATTAAGCTTCGCATAAGTAAATAAGGTTTATATAAAATTGATCTAAGAGGGGTCCATTTACTCCTAAAGTAAAACAATGACATCCATTTGGATAGGAAAGTACCCCTGCTTTTGAATTATCGGCTTCCAATATGGAAGAAAACTGAATTTGTTGCACTTCAAGAATAAAAAAAAAAAAATCACAATTGCCCTTTGAAAAAAAAAAAAAATAAAAAAAAAAAAAAAAATCACAATTGCCCTTTGAAAAAAAAAAAAAAAATCACAATTACCACATGTAAACAATCCTAGGTATGCCAAATAATTTTTTTTCACTGTTTAACCAAAGATTAAGTGCATGTGCAGAATTCAATTTCATTATCAATTGTCATTATTTTTTTAGAAGAGACGTCTTTAACAATTGACAGAAGAAAGGGATCATAATCGAAGATAGCTTTGCTGTAGCATAAAGTGTGAAAAGAGACTCAGAAAAACAAATGAACACTTGATCATAAGTGAATGGAATATTATTCAAGAAGAAATATATGAATATCTGAATATCGTGAAGCACTGTTAAAGTTCGATTATGGTAAGGTAAGAGTGATTTCTAGTAACCTATTATCTTTAACTTTCAACCTTTTCAATTCTCATAATTTAAACGTTAGAAAGTAAGAAAAAATTGAAACATGTTATTGAGAGTAAATAGAAAAAGATAACTAGTTTACAGTGAAAATTTAGGTCAAATCCAAATAATATGAAAAGAAAAATAGAAAAATATCACATTTATTAGATTGAAATAAAATGACATAATGCATTCTCAATTATTTGTGGACTCGTAACGCACTTAAATCCACAGTAATTACAAGCCAAAGTCACACGTTTTGAATGAATTCAACACATGCTTGACAAGTGCAATCTTCAAATCGACACATGTTACAACCTAAACAAACACATTTAATGCAGCCCTTGCATTTAGCAGTTCTTGGGCAACCTCTACGCACCAATCGACATTCTCGCTCCACTTCATCATTGCAGGTCAATCTGAAAGACAAAAGAAATCATGAGATAGATTATAGTTTCTTGTTTATTTTTTGTAGATTCTTCTATGTGGTATACGTAGCTTCATGATATGTAGTGTGAATCTTCTTATATCTATCTATATGAGAAAAATGGGATATTTTAAATTTTATTTAAATGCATACCTGTTATATAATGTATAGTTAATGTTGTATTGCATTACTTTGTGCAAATCTGTTCTTGTGTTAGATTGTTATGATAGTATTATTCTACTTCACGAAATTTTTTGAACAAATATGTTTGTATTCTCGAAAATTAGATTTATAATTACTGGAGGTTTGGCATGTCTGAGCATTTCCAGTTTCTGTTGGTGAGAGCATTATGGTAAATCATGCAATCCTCCCTGCTTCGAAGATAAAATCGACGCTCTTTGTGGCATCGAGAACATCGTATAAACTCATCACGATGACTTATTTGACGTCGAGGTCTTTGATAAGTCTCTGTATGATACTTCAGCAAGCAAGTTTTCTTCAGGGAAACTCTTGTCCCGTCACTGTTAGTGACCCAGACCTGATTCTTCCAATTGTTATGGGAGTTGGTTTTCCCAGCATGTTTTGCAAACTCAATTGGGTGCAAGTTCACTGCAAAAATATTTTTATAGTCAAAAACCAAATCTGTAATTTAATGAGAAAACACATCCGAGTCAAAAGAAACTCACTACCACAAAAAATATTTAAAATTTCAAAATATAATTCCTGATTTTCTGGATGTTTAATATAAATAACTACGCCTTTCTAATTCTAAGTTTTGGTTAAAGAAGTTATTATATGATAAAAACTTCATCATTTGCATTTTTTGTGAAATAACTTCAGAATCCATAGTGAATATGTAAAAAGGAGTTTAGTTGTGTACAAATGAAATTAAAAGAGTTGAAAAAAACTAGATGTAAAATTATGATCTCCAACTTTCTAGTATTAAAACAATTTGAATAATTAATTTAAGCCTTTGAAAACAAAATAAGTATATTGATTTGAAGCTAGAGAGAGAACCTTTGGGACAATTTTGAGAGCAATTGCAGTCGATCTCGAGCTTTCCGTCTACATAGACTCTAAGGTTTCCTGGCGTGTCACCGTACCTTGGAACGGTGCAACCACATTGAATCTCAATGTACTCCGTTCTCTTAAAAACTCCGTGAAGACCAGCGACCTCCTCATCAGTGAACATGCCTGCAAATTTTGCGGACATTCTAATCACTTCAATGTGATGTGAAAATAGTTTTTCGTCTCCATAAAAGATTTAAAATGTTTACTAAGAAAAATAGTTAAATTAGAAAACATTCAATTTCAATTAATACTACAAAAGGTTGCATAAAAGATTTTTTAAGATTTTAAGTTTCTTGTTGAAACAAAAAATATATTGGAATGATCATATGCTTTCACAAAAGAAATACAAGAGATGTAAAGGAAGCTTACTTGAATTTTTACAATGACTATAATTTGATGAGAGCCTTAAATTTTCAGACCTATTTATAGAGAGAAGTCACCTCTCGTCTTATTGCATGTGTGTCATCACCTATCCACAACATTAATTCAAATGACATGCATTAATTTATTTTTTCCTTTTTAACATTAGGACGGCTAAAAATAATAAATGAAGAAAGGTGACTTAATAATAGTTCAAACAATGCACATTAATATATATAAATTTCCAACATCCCAACGGCATAAAACAATTAATGAATAATATGGCTCAACACTAACTGAAATAATGCACATTACTTATTTTTCTTTTCAACATTCCAACGGCATAAAACAATCAATGAAATAATATGATCTAGCACTAATTCAAATAGCGTACCTTAATTTGTTTTTACTTTTCGATATTCCAACGGCATAAAACTATAAATGAAACAATATGATTCAACACAATTTGAACAATGTTCATTAGTGTGTATTTCGTTTTTGAAATTCCAACGGCATAAAATAATTAATGAAATATTATGAATTGGATTCTCATAATCATGGAAGACAATTCTAAAATAAATGGTAAATGAATATTTTGTAATGAAGTCGACATTAATCATGATGCTAGATTGTTATTATCTAGGAGTAATTTCTCATTTAATTTATGATGGTTTAGAGAAATTCAACTTAACATATTCTAAGTGGTCTTGTTTTCCTTTTAAGAATTATGTTGAATTGGCTTACCCTACATATAGCTTCCAATAAACTCGTTTGTGTGTTTAGTGTTGTGATAGTGAGTGCAGAGCTCGATAGAAGTGGCTGAAGTAGTGGGTCGAAGGTTATTGATGGCCAAAGTTGAAGCGTCAGAGTGGACTTATGTCCCTAAAGTAACTTGTCTCTTTTCTTGACTAGTAATTAGGCCTTTACCAGACTTGGGGGACGGGAAGTAGCCAAAACACAATTGCTAACATGATCGAACATATGGTTAAGACCTATTAGAAACACACAATATCTTCAACAATATGCTTCCTCTGTTTCTCACAGCATGTGTCATGTCATTAGGCCTCTGACAATTTAGTTCCATTAATATGGAGTTCAGTTCTAGTATTCAGCAAGAGGCCGACCACCTTAACTCGATCGGAATGATTCCTTCATGCTTCCATTAAAGAGTCACCAACATCAAGATATCTCCTTTTTATCTTATCCCAAACTTCCCAAGTCATTCCACATTATACAAAATGCAACATCAAATTATCAGTCGTGGAATTTGAGCGAAGAAATGACTAAAGCATCTTCAGCCTCCCATTCTTCATACTATGGATCACCTTTAGCAGATGCAGCGTTCCATCACGTGATGTAACTCTTCTTCTGATCCACAATATGCATCTCCAAAATCGTGGATAAAATCCAATAATTAGCACCATCTAATTTAATTTGAATTGGAGAGGAAGTCTCATGAACAGTCAGTCACAAGAGAGACAACCTTGATGTTAGAAGACTTCATACCAGTTGTGTCAGTCATCTTGGCAACTAGGGTTTACTTTTTAGCAATCACAAGAATAAATATGAGGATCACCGCCGTTGAAGACCAAAAACCAGGTTTTTGGGCAACAAAAATAGAATTCTCACAACCACCAAGCTAGGATTCTCGCACCTAACAAGCTAGGATTTTTGCATCCACAGAGAGGAGATCTGACCAAGCAACAAGGGTTGCATACAAGCCGAAGAGGTTCACGACCAACCACACAGAGTTGCCCATGGAAAGGGCTTGCCTAAGGGGTTCGACTACTCGGAATAGTTGAAGAGGTCTGGGTTAATTAGATGATGGTTAGCCTCGATGCAATTTGAGGAGTAAGCCTCACGACATATGAAAAAATAGGTCAAAAATAAAATATACAAAAATAATCTTCTCGGTTTTTAAGAAGGTTGTTAAAATAATCTTCGGCTTTTAAAAGTTTTAATAACATACATGCGCACTGTTAAAGAAGATTAAAAGGCGGCCTAATTCACTATTGATATTAGTTTCCTGAAGAACTCATGCACTTAAAGAAGCATATGAAGGCATTAATGAAAAGCAAAAACTGAAGATATAAGAAGAAAGAAAGTGAAGAAAAAAGAAGCAAAAGTCAGACAATTTGATATTGGAGCTGCTGGTGGCGCTATAGGTACCACCAGCCAATGTAGTTGTTGAAGGAGCTACTGATATTTGCTTTTATTTTATCATGGGATTTGGTGGTTGATGAGGCGTTGGCATTGAGTTGTGTGCCACCCAAAAAATGCACTTAAAGTAGCACCTCAAGGCAGAATGCTTGCTTGTCAAATCTAGGTGCGCCTTGAAGCACGGTTCAGTACCGCCTTTTTAAATCATGCCTTAACCTAGCAATAGAATTCCCTTCCTATCTAGAACCGACATTCACAGCAGCCCATATTCCTAGTTCTTTGATCCAGTTTTTGGCTGGAAGTAGTGTTCCCTAGGTTGCCTTGTCCACAATGAGGGTCATTCCTAGAGATGTTTCTGCTTTGAAATCTTTGTTTAGCATATTTGGCAGAACTTGTCACTGTGAACTACGTTGCTTTTTTTAATTTATGTTTCTTGTAAATCACCAGCTTCCCTCAAATACTTGTGCAATCATTGCTGACTGCATTGCTTTCTTGAATTGATCATGCTAGTAAACTGACTAGGCATGTGTGTGTTCATACAGTTTCAGAAGCCAAATTCGTAGATGCAGCACTTGCTCATCTCTCTGCTCCAGGTCAGGGAGTTTTTTGTAGCTAGGCTCCTTGAGAAATAACATGAAGATTTTCGAGGGTTTGGTCCTTTCTTTGCAAATGGTTGGGGAATCCCGAAAGGTAACCATTTATCATCATCATCACCACTATTTTTACCATCATTATATATATTTTTTTGTTACTGGGGAAGCTTTCCGTTAGCTGAAGTAATGGCAGCTAGAGGGATACAAGGTGCAACTACTTTGCTATGTCCATTAAACTTTGCATCTATGCGCGTTTAATCTGTTATACATAATTGTACTTGTTCATGATTGCTGATTCCTAGAGTTGCCATCAGTTGGTTGTTCTAAATATAATTTTCTAATTCTTGTACTATCATACCTTGAATCTCCAACCATTAGAATTCGGTGCACAAACTGTATTTCCCAACTCCTTTCCTTTGTTACCCTAACTTATCCCATAGTAACACATTTGGTAACACGTGCAATCTTCAAACTAACACATGTTTCAACCTGAGAAAACACATCGAATGCAGCCCATGCATTTTGCAGATCTTGGTTGGTCTACTCACCATTTGGTATTCTAGTTCCTCGTCGATGTTGCAGGGCAATCTGAAATGGACATGAGAAGAAAAGTTATAGTTGCATATGTATTTTTCATGATTACTTCTATATGGAGAGGGATTCTGATCTATCTCCTCGGTGAAGTGCAGGTCAATTTCAACATTCTCAGTTTTATCATGCTGATCAGAATTGTGAGCAATGTTGATGGTAGCTTTATTGTCAGACTTGAGCTCTATTGTTTCGATCTTAGCAACTCATAAATTTTTGAGCAATGTCTTTTACAACATCCACTTGCATATTTCTTTTGCCATTGTTTTAAACTCGACTTCTAGAGTGAATCTCACAATCACAGGTTGCATATATTTCCTCTCAGCTATTCCATTTTGTTGAGGTGTATCTACACTAGAGCTATGGTGTACAATCCCATGATTAGTTAGATACAATCATACGAACCTATAATTGAGAAATAATACTCTCCCGTTATCTGTCTGAAAAACTTGAAGCTATGCTTAAAATTGAGTCTTAACCATGTGATAGACATTTTGAAAAGCTTTTGCTACTTCAAATTTTGGGGAAGCTTTTTGATTGCTGAAGTCACGGCAGCTAGGTGATAAAATTGTAATTAATTTGTTATGTTCCATGTCTCCATTCAGTACATATTTATTCATAAAATTTAGCATCTCCACATGTTTATTCTGTTAATATATAATTGTAGTTATCGAAGATTGCTGGTTCAATAAAAGTGTGTTTTCTTAAAGTTGCCCTTCAGCTGGTTCAATGTCATGTATTTCGTAGTTCGTGTACTGTCATACACTGAATCCTCAACTACTACAATTCAGTGCATGAATTATATTTTTCAAATGTCTTCCCTTTCCCTTGTGACTCTACCTAACCCCGTAGTATCAATAAAGTACCTTGAAAATGTCTATTTCTTGTACATTTTGATGCTCGATCTTTATCATTTGGCGAGACACACATTTAACATAGATCAAAGCAATATTAATCTTATTACTAAATTAGAGTGCATTACTGCAAGAATAACAAAATACAAACACTGAGAAAGTTATGTTACTTCAGAAATGGTTTGAGTTGGATTTGGTCCAGTCAAGATGTTTATTGGGGAAAAATAATGAACGACACAAAAGGCTAGAGATGCTGAGACAAACAAACACACTGAGGGACATGGAAATTTATCTTTACTTGGATATTTTAAAAGCCATCAAATGGAGTCCTCTATCTTGATACTAACACATTAAAGAATTTCTACTTTTTCAACTATATTAAGACAGTGTCATGCAATCATTTGTACAATTTTCCAACACGACACACAGAATATCTAAGTTCAAATTTTCGCAACTAGTAAATTATTATCCTCTTTCGAGAACAAATACCGAGTCTTTGAATAAAAACAGGTTACTGATAGGAGTTTTGGGGGAGAGAGTGTCTTTCTTCGGAGTCAGGAGGGGTAAAAATGGGATTCTATAGAGGACGGGAAAGGTGGTTATAGAGATTCGATAAAAGGCTTTAATGGTATTGGTGGATCCGTGGAGGAGGAGGAGGAGGTGGCGACAGCGGTGGTGGGAAGGTCAGTAGTGAAATTGCACTAGTTTTGGGGAGTCTTACTTTGGCAATTCTCTTGACTTATCTCTTTATGATTGGGCAAGTGGGTTGGCTTCTCGATGCTATTGTGTCCCTCTAGGTATCGCTCTCTTATCTTTCTTTTCTATCTCAGTTATGTATTTTTTTCTCTTGTATCAGAGTTTTACGTATGCATATGAATGTGAAAGGTAGCATTCTTAGTATCATTTTTTTGACATATCCAAGTGCGTAGTATATTTGGCTTTATATACTATCATGGATATGGTTTCACCTTTCAATCAAAACTATAAATTTTGTTATCATTTTCTTTTATAACCGGAATGTTATATGCTTGACCGGATGGGACACCAACATCCTCTGCCCTTCTATATCCCTTGGATGGATAGAGATGCAATGTTGAGCTTTTGGTTTTTTCGCATTGTTGAAGAGTTGAAATTAGAGGCTCGTGAATTTCGATTTAGCCTCAGCTCTTGAAAAGTTGTGTTTGATTTTGTAAAACTTTTTAAGAGCTATTTTTGAAAAATAAGAAAGGAAAAGGAAACAAAAAAATCGCATTTGGCATGCTAATTGCAGTTGCAAATAATTCTATCTGGATTTTCTTGGTGCAAATGCAAAATGGTATGCCAAACATTTATCAACACGAAGTATTTCAATAGCTGCAATGAAGCTAATTATAGTAGTGATATATCTATATGATCTGATTATTTTATCCTTGGTGTTTTTCAAGGGATTATTGCCTTTCGGTTTAATTTTACGATGTTGTACACCAAGTAGGTTGTCTGTGTATCATGAAGTATTTCAGTAGCTGCAATGAAGCTAATTATAGTAGTGATATATGTATATGATCTGACAATTTTATCCTTGGTGTATTTCAAGGGATTATTGCCTTTCGGGTTAATTTTATGATGTTGTACACCAAGTAGGTTGTTTATGTATCGCTGCAGTGACAACGGCAATCGTACTGTCTAAATCACTCTTGTTGAATCCTTGATATTGACATGGGCTGATACTTTGTTCCAGATGCTCGCATTGCTTATACCAATTGTGGGTCTGGGAGCTTTTCTCTCGTGGGTTGGACGTGATATATTTCAAGGCAGTGTGAGTGTATTTAACTTCAATCTTTGTAACTCACTTGAAACAGGATTCGATGCTCATACTCTAAATAAATTTAATGTTTTTTTCACTTTTAAACCTCGATCTATAAGGATTATATTAAGCACCTCTTTGATATCCATTAAAAGAGTTTTTTTGGGGAAATCTAGTTTTAAAATAGTGATTTTTTTTAGAATGTAGGAAAAAGTTTTCAGTTTACGTTCAAAATATTTTATTGTGAGAATGTGTGATTGAAAATAAGTTTTAGAAAAAAAAGCTTTTGGAGAATGGTAGACAAACATGAGCTAAGAAACTCTTGGGATAAAGATATTGAAAGGTTATGAAATCCATAAAGTATACTCGATCAAACAGTCCAAAGTAGGGGATTGCGACAAATTAACTAACTAAAGAATGAAAAAATAAAATAAACAGGAGAGCCCCCACCCCATTGCTATCTCTATCTCTATCCAAAGTTAAGCTATTTCAATTCTATTAAATGTTCTTTCAAATTTATTAAAACTCTCTAGATTATGTCTACTCTTAGTGTTAAGTTGCTTGTTTTCATGCATTAAGCAACTTACTTAATATTTGATTCTGTGTATATGTTGGAAAACTAGTGACTCCTAAAATTGTTGTTACTGCACATCTCAAAAAAGAGTAAGGGCCAATTTGACATAACTTCTGAGATACAAAAGCTGTGTTGAGATCGGGAATATCGAAATTGTATTGAATGAAACTCTAAAACTGTAAATGTTCATTACAATCGTTCTATAAGTAGAGATAGAACCAACTAATACAATAATGACACGTGTGACTGCAATAACCATCTAACTGAATTGAGCTCTGATTGATCCTGTTGCAATTGTGCAATGAGCTGGAGCCGAGCTGCTAGTTTGTTGAGTTTCTGTTACTCTCCCATCAAGATGGATGATGGGGATTGATGATGGCCATCTTGGACATTAAAGGAAACAAAAGATTGACAGGTAGAGTCTTAGTGAAAATATCTGCTAATTGATGATTTGTCCGAACGGGAAACAATTTAATGATTCCATCATTGATCTTGTCCTTAATGAAACGGTAGTCTATTTCGATGTGTTTGGTCTGCTCATGGAAGATAGGATTAGTTGCAATGTGTAGAACAGTCTGATTGTCACAAAAAATGAGAGAAGGAACCTTGGGTGCAATTTGAAAATCATGAAGTAACTGATGAAGCCAGATAAGTTCACCGGTGGTAGAAGCTAAGGCACAATATTCCGCTTAAGCCGATGGTCTGGAAATTGTGTTGTGCTTCTTGGCTTTCCAAGAGATTAAAGAGTCTCCAAGGAAGATATAAAACCCTGTCACTAATTTTCTTATATCCAAGCAAGCACCCCAGTCAGTACTTGTAAAGGCACGAAGCTGGAAGGATGAGTGTGCTGAGAATAGAAGTCCTTGTCCTGGAGCAACTTTGAGGTATTGTAAGAGATGATAAGCTGCATTCAAATGTGGTTATCTGGGTTGAGCAACAAATTGGCTCAGCTTATGGACTGCAAATGTGATATCTGGTCGGGATATTGTTTAGTATAGAAGGTGACCAATTAACTTTTTGTACAATGAAGCATTAGCAATGAGTTCCCCTTCAATTGAGCTAAGCTTAGCCTTGGGATTCATGGGTAGAAGAGCTAGTTTACAGCCAAGAAAACCAGTATCTTCTAGCAGCTGTAGTGTATAATATCTATGAGAAAGAAAAATACCTTTCTATGAGCATGCAATTTCCAAACCAAGGAAATATTTCAATTGGCCAAGATCATTCAGTTTGAACATGCTGTGTAATAGAGATTTCAAGGAATCAATGATTTTATAATATGGACCATTGATGATAATATCATCAACATACACCAATAGGGCCACAAATGTATTTCTAGAACCTCTAGTAAATAGAGAATAATCAGACTTTGATTGAAAGAAACCATGTGCAATAAGAGTATTAGAAAACTTTGAGAACCATTGCCTTGAGGCCTGTTTTAAACCATAAATTGATTTGTGCA